TTTTTTTTTTTTATCTTTTTCTATTTTTTCTTTATAAGGAACAATTCAACGTTCCTGTTAGAAAATCAAAACCCCCTGGTAAATACGTGAGTAAAATAATTATTTCAGCTTAATTCGCATACACGGTCATTATAAATAAATAAAGTTTTTACTGTTCCAAATAACCATAATATATTGTCCTATTCTATTCTGCGTTTCTTACGCATGTTTTATCGTTTCCTTCTTTTTTAATCTTTCCTTGTTTCAATTTTTTACTCACAGAAAAGCTCAATTACTGTTTCGTTTCGAAAAATCGCAACACATGCAACGCGAAAAATTACTTCATTCAGTCATTTTCTTCTTTCCTTTCTTTACTTACCATCTTTTCCTTGAAATCGTTTCGTGCTACTCCTTTTTTTTTTCTTTTTTCTTTTTTTTTTTCTTTTTTTTAATTGTATTATAAAAATTTCCTTGAGATTCTTATTGTTCATTTAATCGTAGTTGCATGTTTGTCGAATGAATAGCGTTCAAAAAAAAAACTTAACTGAAAATTTAAAACTTCTTGTTTCATGTATGTTTCTTTGCAAATATTCTATCATGTATTGTACTTAATTACATTCAGAAGCATTCGACGATTCCTTAATTCGTAGGACATGATGGTTTTGAATATCGAGTTCTCGAAAATTAACTACTTATAACAATAAGATTCATTATTATTTGTCCAGAAATTCTAAACGCAGGATCTGCAAAGCACTGATTAGTTTCCTACGTTCCTGCATGACGATACAAAAAACTCACAGTTCTATCAAAGAACTTTTTTTCTTTTTTGTTCCTTTAAATCATTGAATCCTTCTTAAACTCGAATTCAAATCAGTCCGTAAGGGCAGAGCACATATCGTAAAAATCTTAATCTACAGTGAATACTTATATATATATATAAGTATTATATATATTTATAAGTATTCAAAAAGATACAACGCGACTATTCTGCTGCGATTGAGTAGCAGATTGTTCGTTGGTCGTGCGATTTTGGCTGCCAGGATTATTCTGTTGCTGTTGATTAGCAGGTTTACGATTTCCACCTCTTGAACCTCTATAACCACCACGGAAACCAGAACCACCTGCACCACTGCCTCGATACATGCCTCCCATTCCACGATTATAGTAACCGCGTCCACGAAAACTACCGCGTCTTGTTGACGCTACACCAAATGTTTCAGAGTTCAGTTTCCGCTCTGTT